TTTTAGCAATTCTGCGTTCAGATATTGAATTAATCTCCAGCGAGTTAAGGGATTGAATCATTGTGCGACAATTGAATAAACTCTTTCAATGAACATTTTTGAACTGCGCCATCATTTAACAGTGTCGATTTATGAGAACAGCGCTATTGAACAGTGTATTTATTGTTTGACTTAACTTTGCCATTAAATCATGTAAGCATTTTGAATTCTTACTCGCAAGGATCATATCATATTTAAGAAAAAATCTGCCATAAACCAGTTAGGTCCCCCATTGATGCATAAGAAGACGTGTTATTGTTTTTTATATATGTATTGTATTAAATCACCATTTTACTGTTACGTATTCCAATGAATCCAATTACACATTTTCCTGGCATATTATTTGCTGTAGCAAATTATCTGAATATGTAAACTGATTAGCCAAGCTTTGGTTTTAAAGCCAATCATGAAGCTTCATTTTTTTCTCAAATCAGAACATTATTAGAACTACATTTTTTTTGCAGTGTTTTTTATTGTTTTTAATTTTATTTTTTTGTAATTAATCTTGGTATATATATATACATTTTTATTCCTGTGTTATTTGATAGAGCATCTGCAACTCAGAACGACGATTTTGATTTTTAAAGCGAATCATGAAACTTCATTTTTTTCTCAAATCAGAACTTTATTAGAACTACATTTTTTTTGCAGTGTTTTTTATTGTTTTTAATTTTTTTAATTAATCTTGGTATATGTATACATTTTTATTCCTGTGTTTTTTGATAGAACATCTGCAACTCAGAACGACGATTTTGATTTACGGATCTACTAATTTCATTTGAAGATTGATGCTTGTTCATCCCAACTGTCTGTCTCCTTTGAATTTATACCATCGGGGATTTAATAGGAGCACATGACATGCAATTTACTGATTAACTATGACTGCATATAGTTGAAGAAATAAATTACCACAAAATCATTACTTGTATAATGAGACACGTGTAAATTGAGTAGATAAATAAACTGTATCCCACTTTTGGCTGCAGAATTTGATAAATTGAATCGAATCTCTTTCTTCATAATATCATGGGAATAACTGCTGACATCACGTGAATATTTGTGTATTATTTCACTGTAAAACACTGTAAAAAGGAAACAGATAGTAAAAAGATTGACATTCTGTGAAGTTCATTCGATATGTGAGTCACTTGGTGTTTTATGAAATCTCGTGACAATCCTCGGAGCAGAGCTACGTC